GGGCTGGACAGGTCTGCAGTTTTGCCTCCTTTTCCCGGCCCCTCCCCATTATGTTCGCTCCACGGCTATCAGTGCTGTGGAAAATTTATCTGGCTATTTTCAAAAGGTCAAAAGCCGATAGCCGTTTAGTTATGCAGCCAATCGAACAGAAAACACATTTTTTAAGAACGCTTGAAGAAGCTTGCTAACGTAAGTTATTTAAATACCATAGTAGATAGTTGACTGAATCCTAATATTATTAACCAACAATATATATGAGTATTCCCTTTTTATTCGCAGTACAACTAAATGGAGCAATGGGGCCAATAAAATGTTGATGCAAAATGGTTTTTACATATGATTGTGTTAACTTATTCGATCTACTGGAAAAAGCGGACGTTAGCGTAAGGATTTAATGAATATTTGTGTTTTATTAGAAACTTAGAACGTTCGGTAAGCGTACGGTAAAGTTTACAACTTAATTAAATGTTCCTTTCTCCTAGCTCCTTTTTGCTCTGAAAGCGGACACTGATGGCCATTCTGGGCTGCGCATGCGCGGCAGGCGGTCCAATTATATGACTTTGGCAGCTTCCTGAGTTGTTTGGTTTTCGGCTTCGGAGCAATGCGAGACTTATACTTGGCTTAATTAATGGCAATGCTTTCGCGATTGGCTTTTATGGCTCGTACGCGTATCTACTGGATGCATTCGAACAGGCGGTGTCTGTAATTAGTCGTGGCCAGCTGAGAATCGTGTTTACTGCGCTGTCTTGGCCAAAACCATCCGCTTTACTCTCTCTTAGGTGCTAATAAAGTTGTCAGCTAATTAAAAGTGGCAATCGTGGCTGCTGATCGATAAACGATTGATAAAGAATGTTTGGTCACTGCTCAGAAGGCCATAATTAGCGCTGAAATGCATTGAACGAGTTGGCAAAATAAAAGGCATTAGATGGATCGATTGTAAGCTATCTTTTCCTTAAAAAAACACTTGTCATATTCAAAATAACAGCGCAATCTTGTCAATTAACATATAAAATATGTCCAGGCTATAAGTATATATACAATTTTTAATATATATAATATATACTTCGCCTAAAAGTTTCAAAGTCGTAACAAGGCAATCTTTGGAATGGGAAACTTTTAAAGATAATGATATTCCTTACTTTTGTGTTGGCCAATTACGAAACCGTAGCATAGATGTGTGGTGTTTAACTTTATGCATATATCTTTGTGGCTCATTATCTCAACAGCCGCCACTTGCCCGATTTCCCCGATTCTTGGCCACTTTCAACGCCTCGGCGAGCAAACTCAATTACTTAGAGAACACGCTGTTGTCCCGCACTTCTACTTCTTCTTCCCCGCCACGCCCCGCTCCGCCTGCCGCCCATTTTCATCCTGAGGCGGCGATTCCTGCCTTTTGGTTTAGCTTTTACTCTGACTTCGTTTCGTTTCTGCCTTTCTGCCCGGCAACTTAAAATGCAAACATTTGCCGAGCTTCCACGGAGCTGCAGAGTCGTTCTCTACATGGCTGTTTTTGCCTTTTTGATGATTACAAATTAATCACACTTTAAACATGGCAATTACGCTCTGGAGGGGGCCCAAACAAAACTTGCATAGACACACGGCCCAGCGAATCCCGGCTTCCTCAGCAGCGAACTCCGCTTCTTTTATATGGAAAATTGCTTCCTTTCGCTGTTTAACTTTCGTTTTAATAAATAATCAAGTAGGCTCTGAGTCCGGAGACGGGCTCCACTTGAGCTGTTTTGAGCTCCACTTTTGCTGCTCCATCACTGAAAAAAAGTAGCCTAAAAACAGTCTTTAACTGCAAGACATTAGTGATGTGAAATAATCCATATCAGAACTACCATTGTCACTTTAAAGTTATTATTTAATGATTTTGAAATTTGCATTTATAAAATTATAACAGATCTTTGGAATGGAAGACATTCCTTTTATAAGGTTTGCCTGAATATTTATTGTATATTCTTTCAATCCATAAATTTATGGCATTAAACTGTAAGTAAACTGTTAAGTTAAGAATGGCCCAACCTATATTGTAAAATCGTTGTGCTTACTTCACTTGGATAAATTAATTAACGCTACGAATAAATATTTAAGCTATGATTTCCAAAAGCTCGGTTTTTTGCTCAGTGCACTTGCGCTTCTTGACTGCTGCTGTTCGTCAAGTCCCTCGTGTAATTTCCAGGCAATTTCTCATACCCATAATTGCATAATTTCAAAGTTGTTGGCAACTTAATTGCGCTGCACATTGGACCAGGCCAAGACCGATCCGATTCTCTGGCTACCTGTCTCCCTCTGGCCGAGTAGTGGCGTCCCGCTTTGCCCGCTGTGCCCGCTGCCAACGGTGTAAATAAAACCTTTTTAAACGCTTGTCAGGCGGCTGGAACCCACGTTGGACTTGGGCCTAACTGCCAGCGACTTCAAGAGCGCGCATCATCATCAAACATGTGTTGTTGGACTGGGCTCCTCCAGAGGCCGCCCCCACCCATCCCCCTGCCGCCCATTTGGGCCCGCAGTCATTTGCCATCAAAGTTAATATGCTTTATATTAAATTCTTTTGCCTGGCCTCCTTTTCAGTCCGGTTCAACTGCTCTGGCCGGCGGGCATTTTATAATCTGCATCTGCCGCACTTTCCTGTCTGCCCTCAAACCTCCACCCACCGCCCCTTTTTGAGTTCTGTTTGTGGAATTGTTTGCAGTTTTCCCCGCTTATTCCATCTTTTACTCTGCGTGTCGCAAACATTTCGCATCAAATTACTCAATTAATTTCACTTGAACGAAAAACAAAATTAAGGCAGCTATTTAATGTGGGAGAAACGGGAAACAGGAAATGCTGCGGTCATTCCCACCAGGAATTACCAAATTGGTAGGCATTTGTGTGGAAATCGCAGATAATTGGTCAAGAATAAAACAAGTTAAAAAGCCAATTCATGGTTCGTAGCGCGCTAAATGAAAGGGTAATTATATAAATCAGAAATTACAGAATAAAATGGTAGACTATCTGCTTCTTAAAAAAAATATTTTGAACAGCATTCCTACTTGATGAAATGTCAACTTTTTCTTGTTTACCATGGCTACTATCTGAAGTATCAGTTTGTTGGTAAAATTTAAAGAGTTAGAAGGCTTTACTGCTTGGCCAAAATTGTTACCCAGAATTCCCTCATAAAAGCACCAGAAATGGCATTCCGTTTCATTAGAAGCTTATCTAACCTTTTAGAAACTTTGAAGCATCCAAAGCTGCCACTTCCACAAAAGAAAATTCCTACACAGACAGAAATTTGCGAACGGACAGTAGTCAACGAGCATTTCCAAATTGATTTATGGGCACATTTCTTGCAAATGAGCCGAGCAAATCAAAAGAAGACGGCCAGTAGATGCGGCTGTAGTCCAGTTTGCTCCCTCCAATCCACAAAAAACTCTGAATCTCCACTGGCCATGGCCAATGTGGACTGCCAGCGAAGCCAACGAAATGCATTTGGCACGCAATTACGGCCCAAAGTGTTAATTGCATTTCCGCTCTGCTCTGCAGCCAACCAACCAAAGGAGCAGAAGCACCAGCAGGAGCAGAAGCTGGAGGGCGGGAGCCGAGGCTATCCAAGCCATCAACTGCGGCACGGCCCACAGCTCACGCATTTGGCATTAACCAGAGACAGCCTACATGCACTGAAAACAAACAGCTGTTGAAAATAGGGAAATAGGAAAATAGGGAAATAAGCATATGATATGACGTGTTAAAACGATTTCGGTTGTCATTACAAAATGGTTATTTTGCATCTTCTCGAGAGTATTTTTTTCAGTGCAATTGGGAGAAGTAACTCCGACTAAGCCAAGCCAAACCAAAGCATTTGCCTGAGATAAGCGAGCGGCAGAGCTAACGGTCCTTTTTCGTATGGGGCAGCTGCAAGTGGCGGGGAACTCGGTGGTATAATGGCCAAGACGCATGCGTGGCACTGCGGACCTGGCCAAAAACAGAGCAAGGAAGAGCAGACACGCAGCAGGCGGCCAGATGGAGCGAAACTAAGTCAAACATTTGTAGAACACGGCGGAGAATCCAGCGAAAAGGGGTCTCTGGACATCTAAGATCTCCCCGGGGGAATTGCGGCTGAAAAAGTGGGAAAATTTATGGGCCCCAAAAGGCGAATAGATGTCGTAGATTTCGCAAGCTACAGCGAATAGTTAACAGTTGAGGATGGGGATTTGGCCAAAAACCTACCATGTAGATGCTTGGATATACGTAAAATATGGGCTGGAGCAATTGATAGTTGCCCACCATGAGATAGCAATCTTTTTCCTAGATAACAAAAGAAAAAATACCAAAGCCATTTGTGAACTTCCCTTGAACTCAGTTGGGTGACCAGAAGTGCCTTTTAATTGGTTCAAACTGCAATTTGCATAGGCCAATTGCAGCAGTTATCGCCCGGAGGTCCGACATTCGAAACGGGTTCAGGTTTCCATTCGGGGATCCTGGCTAGCATCGGCTACATTGTACATTGCCATGTGGCAACATTTCAGTGATAAGCCGCAGCAAAAATGTCGGCCAAGTCGGCACACAGCTGTCGATTCCGCATTTGGCCAAGCTCCAATCTCGAAAACCAAGCCCCATCCCCTCGACGCTGTCGCTTTTGTGGCATTTGTATTGGCAAATCAATGATAATGGCATTTATTTGAGCCAACTGCGCTACGCCCGTCGTGCGGCTCTTACCCAAATCCGTTAATAAGCCATTTTGACAAATTGGATGATTGCCGCGCAATCATTCGCCTGCCAGGAGCAGATGGGACATCCCAGCGAGCTCCCGGCAATTCTGAAAGTGTGGCGAATGGGAAGATAAAATGTCAAGCAAACAACTTCGTGGCCGATACGGAAAATGACGTCCAAATGGGATCTGACTGCGCATTGGTCGAGGAAATTTGGTGGCGGTAATGAGCATGGTAATGAGCATATGAAATGGGGCCTTAACCATTCAAATCGGTTTATAGGAAATGGTTTAACTGATTAACTGTTTTAATATCTACTTTATATTTTGAAGCCATTATAAGTCTTGCATTATATTAAAAGTTATATATATTTTCGATGGAATATTGTGTAAATTCGTTTGAATAATTGAATCACCTCCCAGAGGAACAGCTTACATCATGTCCCTTTTATAGCACGTTATGGTGTTTTGGCATTCGGCATCGTGCACTTGGTGGAAGACTGCGAAAAGTAAACACACTTAATACAAATCTATTCGAAAATATTTGAGTACCCTTACCATTCTTGGTGTTGAAGCAGTTCCACTGACTCAGCTCACATTGGCCTGGAAAATTGACCACACATTTGCCGTTGCTGGCGCAAATGGATAGAGATGCTTTGGGACACTGGAAACTGCATTTTCCCAGTTTCATTTCCTCGCGATGCTGGGCAATTAGCTGCGGAATGTGGGCGTGAACTTGGTTGACAGTATTGGACACTTTATCGGGAATAACCAGGGACCGACCAGCCTTGGATGCATTTGGTTGGGGTGCTGTTTCGGATGGTTCAGGATCCTCCCGATCCTCACCCTTGTTGATTTCATTATCCTTCTGTAGCTGCTCCTTTGCTCTCTGAGCTTCTTGTTCTCTCTTCTGCTTAATGGCCTGGTTGACGGCCAGAGGAATGTGTTTCTCGGCCTGTTGCATCACCTGGGCCACATGCTGTTGCAGTTTTTGCAGCTTTTCGGCCACGTTGATTGGTTCTTGACCAGGAAGCGAGTGCACCACATGCTCCACGGGCGGCATCACCACCTTATTGTGCACCACCGGTCTTCCGTGGTGGATCAGTGTACCGGTTGCCTGATGTTGGGTCACCTTCACCGGTGGATGGCCAGCTTGCAGCGACTGTAGGCCAGATTGCAACGCAGGTGCAGCCGCTGGGACGTCGGCAAGGGTAGGGGCAAGGACATGACCAGAGTGTGCCACTGGTGGAAGGAGATCTGGATGGGGCTTGACCACTGGCGCTCCGTCCCCACTCCCACTGCCACTCCCACTCCCACTCCCATGCCAATCCACCGGTCCACTCAATGTGTTCGAGAGCTGAGGTTTGTTCTTTATGTGCTGCAGCACATGATTGATGTGGCTGGTTATCAGGTTCTGGATGTGAATGGGGAGCTCCGTTTGCTGGGGTTTCCCCGTTGTGGCTGTGGTTGCGGTTTCCGTAGTCTGGGCTAACTCGGCGGCTTGTGCCAGCGACAGGATGGCTAGGGAATACCAAGAGTTTATTTTATAATTCTCTTTTTCTTGTTTCTTAACCCAATTAAATTCTTTAAGACTTCTTGAGTTAAATAAAAAGTTCCCGATAATATTCCTCAAACTGTTGTTATAGATATATATCATTATGTTCAAACAAACATTTTTCTGCGTCAACTAAGTATGTCGATAATATGCACATTAACTTAATGAGTAATATAACATATTACATTTTCCTTAGTTTCTTAAAAATATACTGATTAATAAACGTTTAAGCTTACCTAAAACCCAAATAGTCTTCATGTTACTCAGTTAATCCGCACTTGTGCTCCTTTGCGACACCCAAAGGCGTTCTGTGGCTCTTCCCCCAAATGTATCCACCTTATAAAGGCTTTTCGGTGCTCCCTTAAACGTCAGCAGCCTTGCAAACGATTTGCTTAATAATATTTGTTCATGTTATTATTTGGTTTTTATGTAAATTCTCAGCACACGAGATGCTAACAGGTTTTTGGTCGCGCTTGAACGGACCAGTGAGCTGAGAATCGCAATTCTAAGGAGGGTGTCGATGAGGTGGGGATGGGGGATAGGGGATTGGGGAGACTTGTCTTCCACCTGTCCACTTGTTTTCCATATCTCTCACATACTGATTCAATCGCTTCCTTAATAAAATCAAATATGGCATTTTGCTGGAGATCATTATAAATTATAATTGTAATTATCAAATGTGTCAGAATATGGAATATACGACAAAATAATTGCATATCGAATGCATTTTATTAATAAATATCAATTAAATAAATATAAATCAAACAAATGCCTTTATATATTTCTGTTTTCCAGCGCTTAATGAATAATCTATTAATTATTGCACTGGTTGAATAAGAAGGGGCAAATATAATACATTTTTGTTTATTACAAATAAATTTATATTGCATTAACTAATAATAATGCTTATCAAAGATATGAGCACCAACACAAAGAGAACTCGGATTTTTCCCCAACTTAATCGAAATGGCCGCATTTCGTAGCATACTTTCCGGCGGCCGCTACAGTGAAATCCATATTAAAATGCTAACAATAAATATGCAAATTTGGCATTTCGGAGTTTTATTTTTAGTCAGTCTGGGCAGTATAATTACAAGGCAGATAAGAATAAAAATGACACGCAAAGCTGCTGATGGCAACGATGATGATGCAATTTAATATCCCTGGCAGGTGTTAAAATAAGGGATTATGTAGGGAATCAGGAAGGACAGACCGCAGCATCGGCAGCAGAAACCAAAAGCTGTCATCAGCAAAAATCTGATGAGTATATAAAAACGCGTCCAGTCGGTGGCAAAATCAACAGTTTTACAGTTGCTGCGAACACAGCAAGGTAATACGCACCAAAAATAAACATCAACATATTCAACCGAAGGACCTCATCATAAACCAACAATGAAGCTCCTGACATTATTCTTCCTGGGTTCGTTCTTTTGTCAACAAAATACAACAATTATTTATAAAGATAACGCATTTTTACAGCCTATATGGCATATACTACCGCCAAAGTGGTTCCCACTTCAACTAGCAATCACCTGAGCATTGACCAGCACGGTAAAAGGGTTTATGCGGATGTGGCCGAGGATAAATGCGACTATCTTTGTCCCGAAAAGGATCCTTCGGTGTGCGCCACCAATGGACAATGCCTTCTGAAGTTTGAGAGTCGCTGTGCCATGACAGCCTACAACTGCCGTAATCCGCAGAAAATGTTTAAGCTCGTGGAAGACCATCGTTGCACGCAGGACTGGCAGCCTCTTTGCATGGAGTCAGATCTCAGGGAGTTCGGCTTGTGAGCGATGCTTTCAGTTGAAAGGTTGAGCAGAGAAATAAAATAAAAACAAGATACAATGCGACGAGAAATTTCATCATTTTTTGGAATACCCGTGGAACGAAAAAAACATTTTTTTGCAAATCTATAGAAATTTACAAGATATATAAAATAGTGAAAAAATACAACAAATATATGTGGTATATATGGTATACTTTATATGGTCGGAAACGAAAGGTTCACCCGAAAGACAATTTGTAACATCAACTAGGTTTTCTCGAATATGAAGAAAGCAAAAAAAAACCAGCTGGCAGCCTAACTATTATAAGCAACAATTGCTTAGATATAAAACCATATTTACAACTTGAAATTTACATTTAACTTTTAACTTTAACTTTTACTTTTAACTTACACTTTAACTTTTATTACAGACATTTTATAAGTAAATAAATAAATGATACCAAAAAACGATACATTTTAAATATGGCTGCTATGAAATTAATCCAAAAATTATATAATTTAAGGTTATAAGCTTCTGCTTTCCAAAGCTGGATACCTTTCTTGTTGAATCCTGATTCTTATTTAATTTGTTAGGCTTTATTTAATACACCGAAATAGTTTCAAGAACACTTCTTTAATGTTTTAAATCAGTTACTAGCTCAAGGACAGTCCACTTGTCTTACGTACATTCTTGTATATACAATTTTAGAACAAATAACTATTTAGATGAAATAACTATTAAAACAATCACTTTTTTCTTTGTAATGTATGCATATAATTAAATGATTTAATATGTTTTTACTAAAGGGATGTTGTATTCATATACACTAAGACCACAAGACGTCGGCGATTCAAAGCGTCAGTTCGTCTTCCTTGCATCGCCTCATGCAAACTCCCAGTCGGCATACATCCTCGTCCACTGCGCGGAAAGACAAATCCCGATGCTTGCAGTTGAAGGTGTTCATCACGCACTGATTTGCGAACTCATGGATGCAGATGCCATTGTGGGCACAAATGGGCGAGTACTCGAACTTGGTGCATAGCTCATCGCAGTTTTCCGTAGAGGGAGGCGTCATTATATCCGCTGGCGATGTGGTGGCAATGCCTCCCATCAGCAGATGAAAACAATTCCTGGTTGGCACTCGCTTGGGCATTGATGTAGAGGCGGGTGCACTGGTGGTACGACTGCTGGGCGGTACAACAACTGGCATAAGTTCGGAAGCATCGGGATGGGGAATGCCAGGATTGGGGGTTCCATGGTTGGGGATGCCAGGGTTTGGAATTCCGTGGTTGGGGATGCCAGGATTCGGGATTCCATCATTAGGAATGCCGCGGTTTGGAATTCCATGATTAGGGATTCCAGGATTGGGAATTCCATGATTGGGAATGCCAGGATTCGGGATTCCATCATTAGGAATGCCGCGGTTTGGAATTCCATGATTAGGGATTCCAGGATTGGGAATTCCATGATTGGGAATGCCAGGATTCGGGATTCCATCATTAGGAATGCCGCGGTTTGGAATTCCATGATTAGGGATTCCAGGATTGGGAATTCCATGATTGGGAATGCCAGGATTTGGGATTCCATCATTGGGGATTCCACGATTCGGTATTCCATGGTTAGGGATGCCAGGATTTGGGATGCCATGGTTAGGGATACCAGAATCCGAAATTGATCGTGCCACCCGCATCTTATTATCAGACTTCACTGTAGGTGGCACCACTACCTCCTGGACAACATGGACCATTCCCGGCTTGATCTCCTCCACGGTGGCGACCTCTTCCCGTTCCTGGTTGGCCAGGATCACGGGCTTTCCATTGGACAGCAACGGCACTTGGATAGTAATCCGACCGATTTCTGCATTTGGCACAACCTGCGCTGTGGCGAAGACGAAACACAGCAGCACTGGAAAACACAAGAGTCAAACTCAATCCTGTCCAATCGAAAATGCTATTCAGCTGCCCACCTGCGGCCAAGTGATATTGTGGCTTAAACATCTTGTAACTTTAACTCCAATGTCTTCTCTGTCCTTGACTGCTGCAGAACCCGGCTTATATAAGGCGTTAAAATCAAAAAGATCTTGTGCAATCTTCCCTGAGGAAGCAAACCTGTTCTTCGCTTCACGCTTCCTTAATAAATTAAACATTTATGTGCATTGTCTTCAAACGGGTTTCGCCAATTAGTATCGCTTTGATTTTAGGGCGTCAAAAAAAGGCGGGCCCGTGTTTATAAAATATTCTCCTTTTATTTTGATATAAGTTCAGCGACTTGCATCTAGTAAATTACATTTAAAATTCCATATTTCTCAGCATGTCATTAAACCTTATGGACTTTTTTGTTAGAGTTATCTAAGCCTTAGTACATTTTTTAAAACATTCGTTTAAGGCAATAAAATTTTGATTAACGAGTTTTCTTGGATATTAATATAGCTAAATTAGGGTTGACCGCTTGAGTTGTTCTGTTGCTAAGACTATTAGGGATCGCTTTCGTTTGGAGTTATCATGTGCTTTCCCTAAACGTTTGCACATTATGTCCATTAAATGTTGTTATATATGCAGAGTAAGATTAGTTTTAACTGTGCTATACATTGACATAAGTGAGTTGATTAAGATATAACTTCTGAATTGAATAACTCCACGTGATAATTGCTCTCATTTAGACTCACGTCAAACTAAAACTCCGTCTTTGTATCCTGGGATTGTCCATACCATAAACGCAAATTTTTTCATAGATTTTTGTAACTACGTTACAGGCAAACCAAGGAAGATCTTTCTTGAGAGCGCAAACAAAGTAGTGAAAGAGTTAAAAAGTATACATGTTGTAGAGACAAGATCTTTGTGATGGAAAGATTTGAAAAATGGAGCACTTGTCCTAGCAAAAACCTTCTTAGCTGCCGTAACGAAATTGAAAATATTTACTGTCAAGCATTAACAGCACATAAAATCTCTTTTTATGCTATATACATTCACAATCAGATTTTCCGGCAATTATCAATAAATTATTGGGTTCCATTTGATTAATGAATGAACATTCTTTTCGACTTAAAATCTAACAATATTTATAAGTAATATCTTTATGGATCAACAACACGCACTATACAAAACGCAAACTAGAAACGAATGAAAATAAACTTTTACACAATTTTAGACTCTCTTTATACAAAACATTATCTAATCAAATTAAGGACTTTTTCATCATTTGACATGCAATCTTTGTGTTCTCTGCGTTGTTTTGGTTTAAAAAACTACATTAAATTGTTATAAAATAAATTACCACTTAAGTTAGGCATAAATACATGTATAGAGTGTAGCTTAAAAATTTAACATAGAGTATGGTTTAGTTAGTTTATTAATTTTAGGTAATGTTAGGTGGTTGTGGCACTCTGTCGAGTGCCTAGGGTTGGTTTGTTCCTCCAGTTGGCCGCACTACTTTCGCTCCATGGGCTTGACTTCCAGCAATTGGGGATAGTTCTCAACGATGTTGAGTAGAATGGTATCAATATAGTGCTTGAGCCGAACATTTTCATCCTCCTTTTCCTGGAAGGCCTGTTGAAGCTGCAAAACATATATTTTTATTAGTACTTAGAAAGATATAATGTCGACACGAAAAACATAGATACGAAAAAGAATTTAATTGTTTATAAACACAAATGTATGAATATTGTAGTTAGCCAGGTGAAAAATTGTCCGTAATGAGTTTGTTCAATTAGAAAACCATGAACCAATATTAGTCTTAAGTCAAATTTTGTGTAAGTCAAGCTGCATTGCGTGCACAGTGGCTCCAAAACCGTGTTTTATTAATTGTTCATTTTGTTTGAGGCTTTTGCGTGATTGAAGCATTACCTGACTTAAGGATGCTAATGTGGCTGAATCCACAGAATCCTGTAATACAATAAATGTCAATTTAAATACACATGTGGGCAGATAAGATATATGGTTTTTAAAATAAGCGCAGGGCAATACGGACACTAGGACACTTCCAAACTATAGTTCCAAAATAACATTTTAATCTGTTTTCTTTTGCGGTGACTGTGCGTGTGCTTTTGGACTTGGCTCCTAGACTGTGGTTTTGTGGGTGTGGGGATGATGGATTGGACTACACTAAAAGCAGAAGCAGGCGACGTAACAGATGGACTCGAAGTACACACCTGGGCTTGTGACATCTCCTCCAGCTCCTGGGCCAAACTGTTGAGGGTTCCGTTCAGCAGATGGCGACCCTGCTCCACGCCATTCGTCAGCATGGTGGCCTGGTTGGTCAGCATCGTGGCCTGCAGCTCCTCGTTCTGTTCCTCAAGGGCTAGTACAGAAAATGTGTTAAATGCAGTCAGCTTTTGATTGAATGTGTTTACATACTTCGATTCTTCTGACGCATCTCCTCGAGCTCCTGGTGCAGCTCCTCCAGTCTTATGCTCTCCGGCGATGTGGTCGGCATTGCCCGGGCTCCACTCTCCTCGCGAGCACGCTGCAGTTCTCGGCCCAGCTCCAGCATCAGTTCCTCGGTGGACTTCTTCTCCTGCTCGTGTCGGCGCAGTGCCTGTGCCTGCTCCTCGTGCTCCTGTTGCAGGACTCCGATTTGGTCGCGCGCCAGCTCCAACTGCTCCTCGGTGCGATGCAGATCATTGGCCTGCTTGTCACACAGGACACGCAGTCGAGCGGCCTCCTCCCGCAGCGCCGTTGCCTCAATCTCGGTGGCACGGATCTTCATTTGGCAGTTCTCGTTCTGCAGCGAGGCTTCACGCTCCACTCGGGCCAGAATCTCGCGGTGCCGCTTCTGCTCCTCAGCCAAACGCTCCTCGGCACGCAGTTCCGACTGCAAGAAAAAATATATAAGGAATAATTCTTCTAAAATTCGAAAGATATATTATGTACTAACCTCTCGGTACTGCTCCTCGAGCATGTGATATCGCGCCTGAAGGACTGCATATTCGGTCTTGGTGCGGGTCGTCCGATCCTCAGCTATATTCTGTGTATCTGACAGATCGTCCACCTTGCGCTGCAGCAATTCCAGCTGTAAGTATATAGAAAAAGACAACTTATAAGTCTATATTCGAGTACAAGGGTTCGGGTATCGACTAACACAATCGTTTTTCATGTGCCGCAGATCGAGGAGAAGATCGTTCACCAACTGCACATCAGCCATGGGATATTTCACATACATTTGCCTATATCTATATGGTGTGCAAATGATTATATATTTGCTGATATATCGTTTCACATTATTCAGGAATGCTCTTTGCTCGCAGGCTTAAGAAAATTCAAATTATTTCTGCATCGCCGCGTAGTCGTTGCTCATTTGATGGCCAAAGCAGACTGTTCGTTTATATTTTCTCAAAGCGACAACGACAACTCTCTGAAAGTGCTGTTAATTACACTAGTCTACACGCAAACAAAATGTTGATAACAAAACTTGTGCCTCAAAATACAAGTTTTCAACGAAAACATTCCACTTGAGAAGCACTTTCGACGCTTTTCCTACACATCTGCCATGCCACTTTGGTTGCCCAGTGTTATTGGCATGCCTTGCCCATATGAATCTCATAAATATTAAGCATACGCCCCATAGGCAGCCACTTCAGTTGAAGGCGTAAAAAAACACGCACACACATATCGCTTGTATTTTGCATTCAAGTTTTGGCCAACTATTTGGTGGCATGTGCAAAAATCTGTTTTCCCCATTACAGATTTGCAGACGACTGATTTTTTGTGCAATTACTCATGGCCCGCCCGCGCAATTTAAAAACATATAGGCAAAATAAAAACAGAAGTTTTGAACATGAGTCTCTTGCCTGCCTGCCTGACTTGCTGCCTGATAAGAAATGTGCAAGATGACTGCAATGCAGGATGATCAAGAGCTGCCTTATCAAATCAGCCGGAAACAGGGTGATTTTTGCGTTTTCAACAATTACTTTCGGAATACAATTGAAGCATGCGTTACAAGCGTATCTTTGACTTAAGCCCTGATATCAAACATTTGTTTTCTCGCTGATTTTAGAGTGTAACTATGAAAAATCCATGCAAAATTGAATGACAAAGCGGGACGCTTGCTAAACTAATTCCGTCACCTTTCCCTAATAACACCCCTTCTACAGCCCACAATTGTACTACCCCAGAAATGTCAATTGAGAAGTTCAATTAGTGGCTACAAGCGGTTTTCATTTGGGGACGGCACCCAATGACGCTTCAACTGTGCGGCAAAGGCAAAGGGTTCAATTATGATTAATTAACTGCAATTTTCTGGCAACAATTCGCAGTTGATAATTTTTGCTAGATTTACAGAGAGTGTGTCACTTTATATTCGATGGAGATGAGAGCACTGAAAACCGATGGATACACGGACACCAACACACAATCGACGTCAAAGGCGGCGCGGCAAGTACTGAAAAATGGGCCTAGGGCCCCACCAAAAACAAACAACAGAGTGCCATAGAAATGGAGAAATATTCAGAGAGTGGGCAATATATAGAGAGAAGAATAAGCCTGCTGAGTCAACCGAAAAAGTACGATATGGGGGTCTTAATTAGGGGCTGGGTATGGGTATGTGTACAATGAACCATGCCAAAAAACTGAGCATATTATATAGAAACTAGAATTTAAATGTAATGTCTACCGAATTCTTCAGAAAAAATACGGAAAGGCCAAAAGGCAGAAAAATAGCCGCGAAAACAGAAGTAGCGTCTCATTCAGAAACCGTTTGGTCAAAGCAAAGAAAGTAATAAAAACCAAATGTTGCTGGGGGCACAAAGAAAAAACGATAAAAGTGTAAGACAAATTGAGTAACAAGTGACGAGGAGTTGTACATAGAATCGTGTAAGAACGACTATAGATTACCCTGTACTTAGATATTAAGAGAAACACATACTGTTCACCAGTGAATCGGTGAGGCTTGCTAAATCAATTGAATACAATGTATGATACTAAATTTATATTTATGATTATTAAATTTGAATTTTTAAGAATTGAAATATGATCTTTATTATGCTGTTCAGAAAAATCTTTTAAGAAATGTATTTCCTTTAAATACATTTACTTATTTAGTACTGGGTATAAGAAAAGTCGTGGACTACGGTTTCTGGCTCGTCACTTTCCTCTTTCTTTCACCTGAGGTGTTCCCGAGGTCATTAATGTACCTCGGCTTTTTTTGGGGGCCTTTGATT